TATTGCATCTATGCAATTCCCTATCAATCTAATTGTTAGAGGCCTAAATGCTTTGTATTACTTCTTACGTAAATTAAAGATTTTGGTACGTTATGGTGATGGTAATTACAAATATAATGAACGTTATTATAAAAATATTACGTGATAATTAAAAACTTTGAAATTTTTAAATGTATACTCACACTTTATCTCCGTTTTCGTTAATGTATGATGTTCTGAAGAAGCCATGCAATTCGTCGTTTAGAATACCGACGAATTGTACATATAAACTGTAAATTCCAAGGGGTAACTCGTCATCAAAATGAAAGGTTAAGATTTGTGTTTCATTGTTATAATTATGAGCGGTCGGTGCGTAGGTAATTATGTCACTTCTGACCACTGACGTCGCTTCTTCATTTATCGTCAAGTCCAACGCGTGCAAACTTAAGTCTCGCGTTGCACGACGAACCTCGATTATGATGTGAGATTTACCATCGAAGGTAAAATTATCCTCTTCAATGTAAGGTATTAATTCGATGCCGTAGTGCACCGGCACAACGTTGTCTGGTAAACGGTAATTGACCGTCGCGCTCGAGTTATTTTCTGAATTTCCGTCAACAGGAAGAGCCGTTATGGCGGTGAATATTAGGCCGATATTTACTAATACTTTCAGAAACGCCATACTAATCCTCCTTTCGAATACCTGCGCGGACCGTAATTCATAAGAAAAGGAAAAAGACAATTACATCATATTGCAATATCTTTTCTTAATTCCATTTTTAATTATTATTTTTCAATAAAGTGATTTTTGAGGAGAAAGGTTGATACGTATAAATATTGACAATATTAAAATTTTGTCCGACTTAATTTAAAGGCTTAACTTCTACATAAAGAGATTATAGAAATTATCTTTGTATTTCTAACTTTAACAGTAGGTATATACAAAATATACAAAATTGTAAATGAAAAATGACTTTTATAATTTATATATTTGCAATATGTTGCCGTATGATTAGCCCAATCTGCTAAATTCTAATAAACACAATAAGATTCGTTGTTTTTAGTTATATTACGGTATTAAACATACAATACCGACCAAAATTATATCACCTTCAGGTTTTCAAAGCACTTTCGTCACAGTGCATCTAGTGTGCTTAAATTTTACAGTAAATACCTGATAACATGTCTTGTATTATACATAAAGGGTAATGAAATATGACAAAATACATTATGATTTTCGAATTTTTCATTCGTGCACTTTAAAACTAGTTATGCTCAAAAAATCAGAAGGTGATACAATTTTGGCCGGTACTGTACATATTATAGGAGGTTTTCGTGTTTATGTGTGTATAATAGAAATGAACATACAGATAATGTCGCGCTTATCAAGAATGTATATCGATATCTGAATTCGTGATAATTATTGAGGCCGAAATATCAGCGAGATAATTCTTGTTATAATAAATTTTTTGTGCGTTGCAATTAATTTTTCTTTGTTGTCAGTACGATGAATATTACCTTGCTCCTTTATATATTTGCGAGAATACAATTGCCAAAACGTTACAGCGGTTTATAACTTACCACTTGATAGTAAAACGTCTTAACTTATGAAGAGAAATGGCTCTAGTCTCCTATTTATAACATTCGGTATGATT